GCTGTTTAATCTGGAGTGATAGATCGCTGTAGCGCCTCAGTTCAATAAAAGCGGCAGTGCTAGGTGCACATGAACTGATCATCTCCTCCCCTTTATTACTAGTTATAGCACAAAATAAACATGACTAAACATCCGAAGGTAAGTTAAAAGAAAGAGTACAACTTTACAACAATCCATATCCTGTCTCATGTAATCGCTCTTTTAACCTTCAATATTGTAGTAATGTAGTACCAACTGACTCTCATGTATATTTTACAGCATTAAGTTGAGAGATTTTCTTTCCTTGAGAAAATTTGGCTTGTACTGTACCTGATATATATCCAAAATAATCGATATTGAATCGAATATAATCTAATTGGTAATCGAATCAAATCGCAAGCTTAGCATTTCTATGCAAAACGGTGGTCAAAAATTTAAGATTGTGGAATATTTTAATTATAAACATTATATAAACGTTTCAAGAATGTTTATATATTGTTTTTATATACTGCCTTTTAAGTCATTTTAAAGGCTGTTGTTGGCTTAGGTCTGTTTTTATAACCACAAAAAATATTAACTTAATACTTCTTTGTAAACTGTTATTTGAAGTAACAAAACCATGGTTAATTTGTGGTTACCATGGCTACAAGGACCATGATTTTTGGTTTTATTCGTAGTAAAACCATGGCTAATTTTCGTAAGGGAACATGGAAAGTCAGAGAGAATATTAGATGCGTTGCTGGTGGTTAAATTATTACCGACATTAAAACACGTTATTAACGTCAACGGCCAAAAATTTCAGCTTTTCTAATAGCGCCACCTACTATCAAAGAGTGAATCTGCATTTTCATTCAGCCCATCTGCCATTTGTATGCATTGCTCTGAACAGAGAAATCATACATGAAAATCTGACCAAATTTTCATGCCAAAAATTGATTCGTGTAGCTTCCTGTAGAGCTGGAAAGTCTTTTGGAAACGTCCTTCTCTCCCATTAGTCAACCAATATTTTGTACACTACAAAGTGTTTGATTGGTTCATTATGTTTAACTGGTTAAATCAATTAACCAAATCTAACCGGTTTTCTCTACCACCTGATCTCAGCTCCATCTAATGCATTAGTCTGGTTTAAGAATCTGCAGCGGAGATCTAGATCTAGTTAGTACTCACAGTTGAAGTTGGGCTCGATGCTGTCTCCTGCTAACAGACTGTTGATTGTGATTTGGTAGATGATGTGCAGCAGCAGGAACGTCATACTGGTGAAGCACAGGGATTTCAGCAAGCGCCCCGTGTGACCTGTTGAAAGAAAATAATGAATACAAACATTGTGCATACAATCTGCAACACATCCATGCCTAAAATAAAGTTTGAAGTATACAATACTTGATCAGCATAGAATACATGTACTGTATGTGTCTGGAACTAATTAGTTGGTCCACAGGCAACACTGGCCTGGCTTGTTTTTTCACAGTTTAAAAAGAAACGTAAAAAACAGAACAACAACAAACCTACTGGAGATGACAACAAGAATAGATGCTTGTTGATGCTAGCTTGTGAAAGAGGATTAGATAAATGCAATAAATCTGGTTTAAACATATACAAAGACATTTTTTTATTGGTCATAACTTCTGGAGAGAAACACTGCAGACACTGGACAATTTATAGAAATGTGTCATTGCATCAGTGTCTCAGCAATGGATGCTCTGCAGTGAATGGGTGCCGTCAGAATGAGAGTCCAAACAGCTGACAAAAACATCCATTATTAAGACATTTTTAACTTTAAGCCATTGCTTTCGAGTCAATAATCCATAATAATGATTCCTCCAGTGAAAAAGTCCATCTCCAGTTGTCTCTCACATCTGACGGCACCCATTCACTGCAGAGGATCCCCTGCTGAGCAAGTGATGCAATGACACATTTCTCTTGGATGACCTGAGGATGATCACAAACTTTCATTTTCAGGTGAACTATTCCTTTAAGTCGTAACATCAAATCCTGTTGACTGTTACAGAGGAAGAAGAACTCAATGACTTGTACTATTCCAGATTCTTATGCTTTTAGTCCAGCTGTAGGGAAATCAAGCACTCCACGTGTCAGGGTGAAAGTTCATCGAGTTGAACCTGTCCTTCTGCTCTTAATAGAAAAGAGCTGCAGTAATCCACTGCTATTAGCGGAAATTCAGCCTTGTATTACAGCTCTCTCTGTTTCTCTCTCGCTCTGGGCATTCATTTAGCGCTGATAGTTTTGGCAGTGTTTGGGCTGTTCATCATTTAGGATCACGAGGCTCAGTGTGAGTTCAGAGCCGTGGCGATTTCAGAAAAATCTAAATGAAACAACGCTGTGAGTAATGCACGTTACAGGCCATAAAGGGGTCAAAAAGAGATTTGATTTGTGCATTTAAAAAATGTTTATGAAAGAAGAGAAGGGTTTGGGTTGGGTGGGAGTTGGTCCGCTATCAAAGGATGCTGGGAATAGCACAGATAGCATCAAACATGAATTTTAGGATATTAAAAAAACACCCACAACCCATCCGGCCCGAATGAGGACATGACATCATATGCAAATCAGCAAGTGCTTAATTTAATTGTCAATTCGGGACAGATCATATCACGAATTAAAAAATTCTAAAAGTATCTGTAAGAAAGCGGGATGAAATTTCACCCTACTTTAGGGTTTGCATGGGCAAAAATGCTAAGAACTGTGTTTGTATTTGATTTATGAAGGCTTTGGAACCAATAAATGGTGGTCAAGGAAGTGGCTGAGGTAGAAAACGAGGTCTGAAACATTACAAATATAAGTATGCATACTATTAGTGAGTCTAAAATCACAGTCAAACGTGGGCTTGTAAGCGCAAGAGTCTATTTTGATTAAATGCAGGCCTCATTAATTCACAAGAGCACATTTACAGTCATATTCAAAATATCAGAGGTAATGAGAGCGGATCGTTTGGTTCCCTGTGGATTTTGATGAAATATTATGTATCAGTCCTCAGACACGGCTGTTTCCGTAGCACACCGTAACTCAATTTCTTAAAACGTTAGGAAGCACAACCAAGGCTAAAAGCTTCCTCATTATAGAATTAGAAAACTTTTAGAAAGGACTAGAAAAACATGACTTTGTTGGACGTTTTCTGGTCTAATTATCCACTAGTTTTATGGCATTTATATATGATTGTTGATGCAATCTATGTGATAGTGTCCTAAAAGTTAACAAAATAAACCTGTAGATACTTACACTACTGATCATAATTTAGTCAGTAACATTTTTGTTGTTGTTGTTGTTGATAAATTAATACTTTTTTTTAATCAAAGATACATTAAATTGGTCAAAAGTGACAGGGAAGACATTTCTAATGTTCCAAAATATTTCTATTTCAAATAAATGCTGTTCTTCTGAACTTTCGAATCATCTGTGAATCCGGAAAAATAAAATGTATTACGGTTTCCACAAAAATATCGTGCAGCACGACTGTTTTCAACATTGATAATAATCAGAAATGTTTCTTGAGCAGCAAATCAGCATATTAGCATGATTTCTGAAGATCATGTGACACTGAAGACTGGAGTAATGATGCTGAAAATACAGCTGCACATCACAGAAATACATTACAGTTTAACAGATGTTCACATAGAAAACTGCTATTTGAAATTGTAATAATATTTCATATTTTTACTGCATTTAGGATTAAATAAATGCAGCCTGGGTGAGCAGGAGAGACTTTTTTCAAATGCATTAAATCTAACTGACTACAGTCGTAAGTGTAAATTTCAAATATTCATTCCTTCCCTTCCAGGAAAATTAACCAGATAACATCATCTCATATTTTTTTTATATATGTAGCTGTATTGTAAGCAAAAGGCTATTGAATATTTACATCAATACAGGAAAGCAATTGTGTTGATCAAACCATTTTATGGGGTTTTAAAACTAATAAAGAAATGATTGAACAAACATATCTGTGACAATCAAGTTTAGGCTAAATACCGTGCAGAAAGCAGACTGATGTTTTCACAAACATTCATTTTTGGAGCATCAATGTATTAACACCTACCAATAATAATGTCTAAAGCACCCGAGGAATCGGAAATCGCTGTCTGCCAAGATTTTACCATCTTTACAATGGTTTACGGTTATGAAAATGTTTTACAGGTCTGCTCATGCCATCGGTTTTACTGTTTACTGTAATTAGAAAACGCTCTCTTCAACAGCAGCAAATCAACAGTACGTCAAAGGCTTTTTCTTTTGACTAAGTGCGTAGAGTGATGAAAAAACGCATTAGTCAATCGTTCGGTGGATGGAATATGTGCCGGTGACGACTGAGTAAATAGAGAGCGCGGATCCGTCGCACCATGTACTGAAGCCATTATGAGATGCAGCAGGAATTTGAGTAAAAGCTGAAGTGAGTTTGAGCTCCTCCGCGGCAGAAAGGAGAAACCGGCACAGGAAGAGCAAATATGGACCAGATGTGTTTGTTATTTAGCGGCGGAGGACTAAAGGCCGCCGTTTCTCATTATTCTGTTCCCCGATGAGCCATTGCATTCATTTCAGGCGACTGAACGAGTCGCAGTGTTTGTGTGCGGTGTGTAATAGTGAAAATGTGTGCATCTTCATTGTCTGAGAGCTCCAAAAAAAATGGGCCAGACTTGTAATGGTATTCAATATTGCCAAATTGAAAGCTGCAGATCGTTTGGACCGTCAAAAATCCCCTTGGCTCCTCTGGACAGAGATATTGGTGTTGCAAGTTGGCTTGTTTTTTGTAAACGTAAATTGGGAAGGATTATAAAGGGACTATCTGTGGATATCAGCATTGATCGATTGACCGCAACGCACAGACAATGCAGCAGCACTGACGACAGCAGAACCTCAGTCGATACCATCAGATCTCCAAAAGCTTTTAGGGACTTAAAAGCAAAATCGGAGATTCACAACTGACAGTAATGAGCAGGACAGAGTCTAATTTAATCACACAGGCTATAAAATGTTACTCTTATGGGAATGTCTCTCCTCTCATAATTGACATAATTGATTTGAATCAATTCATTCTTACACTACAACCACTTTAAGCCAGAGAGCAACTACTATATGCACAGTACATACACTTCGTTCAAAAGCTTGGGATTGGTACGAATTTGTAGTGTTTTTGAAAAAAAAAAAAAGTCTCTTAATTATTACAAAAAATTACAAATTATTACAATTGAGAACAGCTGTATTCTATGTGAATATGTGTTAAACTGTAATGTATTTCTGTGATGCGCAGCTGTATTTTCAGCATCATTACTCCAGTCTTCAGTGTCACATGATCTTCAGAAATCATTCTAATATGCTGATTTGCTGCTCAAGAAACATTTCTGATTATTATCAATGTTGAAAACAGTCGTGCTGCACAATATTTTTATGGAAACCGTGATGCATTTTATTTTTCAGGATTCACAGATGAGTAGAAAGTTCATAAGAACAGCATTTACTTGAAATAGAAATCTTTTGTAACATTATAAATGGCTTTACTGTCACTTTTGATCAATTAAAAGTGTCCTTGGTGAATAAAAATATAAATTTCATACCCAAAAAAAATAAATACAGACTGCTACCTTTTGAACAGTAGTGTACATATTATATATATAAAAAACAATAAAAGATTAAGATGCATTTTATTTTTCAGGATTCACAGATGAATAGAAAGTTCATAAGAACAGCATTTACTTGAAATAGAAATCTTTTGTAACATTCTAAATGGCTTTACTGTTACTTTTGATCAATTAAAAGTGTCCTTGGTGAATAAAAATATAAATTTCATACCCAAAAAAAATAAATACAGACTGCTACCTTTTGAACAGTAGTGTACATATTATATATATAAAAAACAATAAAAGATTAAATTAAATTAAAGAAAAACAACTAAAATCATTAATGTCAGTAGCACAAAATACGGATATTATTTGTTTTATTTAACATTGATTTAAGATAAATATTCAAGCTAGATTTAAGATTAGACAAAAGAGTTCTAAGATTATAATTATAAAACAGATCATTCGGACTCTTAATTCTGAATAAATTACCTGAGTTCACAAGTCAATGTGAAATCACACATGCACTGCACATTTTACATTATTGGGGTAAATGCAATCAATCTACAGTCGAGTTGATGAACTATATTACTGATAAATACACACAAATCAATTCTAATCTCAGCGTTTTGTTGTGCTTTTACCCCTGGCGTGAATCGCTGAATTAAAACACGCTGCTTTATGCTACACTTTGAACTTTTTAAAACCAAAATGCTTGAAGAGTTGTTTATT